ACAGAAATGCTTGACATAATAACCCATTTGATATAACCTATCAAGCTTGTCTGGCCTGTGGACGGCCGGTTGCATACAGCCCAACACAAATTCGTAAACTGTCTTAAAACATTGAGGTTTTTTGTGAAATTTTTTTTTTTTTTTTTAAAGACAGGGTATTTTGCTCTGTTACTACTCAGCCTGGAGCACAGTGGTGCAGTCTTGGCTCACTGCAACCTCTGCCTCTTAGGTTCAAGCGATTCTCCTGCCTCAGCCTCCTGAATACCTGGGATTATAGGCACAGGCCACCCCACCCGTTTAATTTTTGTGTTTTTAGTAGAGGTGGGGTTTTGCCATGTTGGCCAGGCTGGTCTTGAACTCCCCATAGTGATCCACCCACCTCGGCCTCCCAAAGTGCTGGGATTACAGGTGTGAGCTGCTCCGCCCAGCATGGCTTTTTTTTTTTTAAAGCTCATCAGCTACTTAATACAAGGCTTGACATATACAATAGGCAGCACCTCACCCACAGACTAACTTCTGTTGGTTAGAGGCACCCAGAAGCTGTGCCAGGTTTTCATTAATGTCTGGTTCATCCCATCTCCAGTCTTCACTGTCTCCATGCCGCGTCCTCACTTCTGCTTCTGCCCAAGGTGTTCAACTCTACCAAAGTCAAATCGAATGTCAACCCACACATTTAAGCTTGTAGATAGCTCATCAAGACTGGATCCAAGTGTAAACATTTTGAAAACCATGTTCTGTTAAATAATTCTTAATGGAACTAGTTGAAATAATTGCCTATCTGCTCAGTCCCTTGATATAAACAATTCCAGTGAGGGCTACACAGGGATACCTGGTATTAGAAGTGGTCCACACTCACCTGTTACGGCAAGGGCATTGTTGGGGCTGGGCCCTGGACAGGGTCATGAACTGGACAGACGAGCGATGAGGGTATAAAAAATGAACCTGGGCAGCCAAGTGACTGATTCCTACAAACAAGAAGTTGTCTTCATTAGAAGGGGGATTCAATTCACATAGCTGAAGGCCAGCAAGCATGTTTTCCAGCTGGGCTGGTAATTCTAAATTTCAAAGGGAAATTAGGTACCAATATTCATCAAGGAGCAGCATCTTAAAATGCTGTCAGTAAAGATACGTTACATTACAGCACCTGTTGGTCCTATGATCACTGTTTCTTACCCAGTAGCTGGGGCCAATCTTCAGATTCCCGAGTTGGGGCGTGCCTGGCCAGCAGTCTGAGTCTATACCCCATGCTTAACAGAGCCCAACCAGGAGACTTATCCTTCCAGGCAGGCGCTGAGATCAAGGTCCTCTCTGGTTCCCTCAGGCCGCAGCAGTACATACTTAGCCTGTGCATCTGGTCTTAGTACACAGCCCAGCTCTGATTAAACCACAACGAATGTTTCTACAACCCAGGGGGTAAAATATTGATCTTATAAAATGAGTTAAAGTTGTCAGTAGATTAAACCTTTGTTGCTGTGATATTGTTTCCAACCTCTTTGGCCATGATTCCAAGATAATCAGCCTTGGTCTCAGTGGGTAACAACCACGCTGTGTAGACCCCCACTAGGATTTGGCAGCAAATAACAGCCCCAGGTTTTTGGTGTTCTAGAGAGAGGCTCCCCTATACTTCAAAAAAGGGTAAAAGTAAGAGTGACAATGTGAGCACTCTGGGGCTAGATTAGTTCAGTGATACTGCGCTTGGTGGTTCTTTGTAAACCATTTTTCTTTTTTTGAGACGGAGTCTTGCTCTGTCGCCCAGGCTGGAGTGCAGTGGCACGATCTCAGCTTACTGCAACCTCTGCCTCTGAGGTTCAAGCGATCCCCCTGCCTCAGCCTCCCAAGTGGCTGGGACTACAGGCGTGCGCTACCACAACTGGCTAATTTTTGTATTTGTAGTAGAGACGGGGTTTCACCACGTTGGCCAGGCTGGTCTCGAACTCCTGACCTCAAGTGATCCACCTGCCCGGCCTCCCAAAGTGTTGGGATTACAGGCGTGAGCCAATGTGCTTGGCCACAGTTTTCACAATTACAGCTAGTAACAAAAAGCCAATTGTGCACACGCAAGTATTTTGCCTGAGAAGAGGGCTTGAGAACCGGGAGGAACGGGACCTTCCTCCTGGGCGCTAACCATGCTGCCCACATGTAGGGACTGAACACCAGGGGGTTTCCAGAAGCCTGGGACTCTGCCTCTAAGCGACTTATTAAGTTGTCCTGAAAAAGGAATTCCTCAGAGAATGTCTCCCTTTCCATGTCTTACCAAGAGAAAAGGAGTCAACCTACACATAAGGGACATTTGGACGTAAACACAGGTCTTGAATTGCCTTTTCTTTCACACCAGTCAACACGGTCCACTTAGCCAGTGGAAGGGGAGCAGGTAAAGGCCGGGAATCTGAAGGTGTGGGGTGAACTCCCGACTCGCCCATCTCTCAGCTCACCTTCACTTACCGTGAGGAATTTCCACGGGACCAAGGTACTTACCCAAGTGCCTGCTTGATCCCGGAGGGACTGAAGAGACCAGCAAACTCATGACAACATTTCCTATCATTCACAGGACTGAAATGCACCAGCTCTTGAGGCAGGTCTGTGGTGTCCTTTGCAGCATGCTTTTCTCACAGGCGTAACAATGGACTGGTTTGAGGAAAAGCAGTAGGTGAGCTTCACTCCCAGTGCGGCGCGACCGGGGCGTTTCCGGGCTGTCCCGTGGAGGGAGGGGTGGAGTTCGGAACACCAGCTGCTTCCTGCCTGGCTTCTATACTGAGACTCTTCACTAGATTGTTTGAAAAAGGGGATATGCTAAAAAAAAAAAAAAAAAAAAAGTGTGGAAACCATTAAATGCTCAGTTGATTACCGTTTTACTTTTTAACCTGTGTGACTTTTTTGTGACAGGGTTGCTTTGTTTTCCAGGCTGGAGTGCAGTGGTCTTGGCTCTCTGTAGCCTCAGCCTCCTGGGCTCAAGCGATCCTCCTGCCTCAGCCTTGTGAGTGGTTGGGACCACATATGTGCGCCACCAAGCCTGGCTAATTTTTGTAGAGATGGAGGCTCCCTATGTTGCACAGGGCTGAGCTCTCTCCAAGTGCTGGGCTTACAGCCGTGAGCTATCTTGTGCCTGGCCCTCCGTAATACATATATATTGTTTTGAGACAGAGTCTGGCCCTGCCGCCCAGGTTGGAGTGCAGTGGCGCGATCTCAGCTCACTGCAACCTCTGCCTCCCGCGTTCAAGTGATTCTCCTGCTTCAGCCTCCTGAGTAGCTGGGATTACAGGCGCCCGCCACCACGCCCGGCTAATTTTTTGTATTTTTAGTACAGATGGGGTTTCACCATGTTGGCAAGGCTGGTCCTGAACTCCTGACATTGTGATCCACCCACCTCAGCCTCCCAAATTGCTGGGATTACAGGCATAAGCCACCGTGCCCAGCCCCTATGTAACTTTTTGAACTAACCCATCAAGTGTCCGAGGAACTTGTACTTATTTTGTTAGCTATGTCTTCCCTCCACCTGCCTAACTTGCACTTGGGCACAGGTATGGTATACTAAGGATGTTCGAGATTTATCACTTACAAAACCTGTGAGGTACCTGAAGCTTCTATGAGGAAAACAAAGTTACTGGGAGCAAAGCAGCATCCCCGACCCTGGCTGGGAAGTGACTGACCCGGCAAATGAGACAGAAGGAAGAAGCTACACTGAGGCGCAGGCAGGCGACATGTAGGGTTCCTGAAGGGACTGCTCCCAGGATGTGGTTACATCCATGCCGGGAGGAGGGGTGGGGTGTGCATCCCCATGGCCCAGGACCTCCTCTCCCGGGGACACACTGGGGCAAACATTCCATTCTCAGGGAGGAGTAACTCCTTTTCCTTTGAGGCAGAGTTTCGCTCTTGTTGCCCGGGCTGGAGCGCAGTGGCACGATCCTAGCTCACCACCACCTCCGCCTCCTGGGTTCACACCATTCTCCTGCCTCAGCCTCCTGAGTAGCTGGGATTACAGGCGCCCGCCACCATGCCCAGCTAATTTTTGTATTTTTAGTAGAGAGGGGGTTTCTCCATGTTGGTCAGGCTGGTCTCGAACTCCCGACCTCAGGTGATCTGCCTGCCTCGGCCTCCCAAAGTGGAATCCAACAGCAAAGAACACGGTCCAATTTGCCAGCCTGTGCCTGAAAAGCAAGAGAACCTTGGCTCCCTGACGTAGTGCTGGCACAAGGGAGCTTCACCAGTCAAAGCCAATGTTTTCATCTGTCAGCTACTCATAACCACCTGCTGCAACCGGAACAGAAGCGTGGACGAGCAGGCTCTGACGTGTCCCGAGCCCACGACCGGAACAGAAGCATGGCCGAGCGGGTTCTGCCGTGTCCCGAGCCCACGACTGGAACAGAAGCATGGCCGAGCGGGTTCTGCCGTGTCCCGAGCCCACGACTGGAACAGAAGCATGGCCGAGCGGGCTCTGCCGTGTCCCGAGCCCACGACTGGAACAGAAGCATGGCCGAGCGGGCTCTGCCGTGTCCCGAGCCCACAACTGGAACAGAAGCATGGCCGAGCGGGCTCTGCCGTGTCCTGTGCCTGTGCTCTCCACGCAGGAGAGGCTGGTGGCGACCAGGGATCCTGGAGCCCGCCACTCACCTTCAATCCTACCTCCTCTACTCACTAGAGGCATCTTCCCTCATCTGGCCTCAGTTTCCCCACCTGCAAAAAGGAGGATACTGTTTCACACATAGGCTCTCAGGGTAACTCATTTAGTCCTTACAAGTGTCAAAGAGAACCAATGTGTGGTCAGCGACTCTCACTGAATCCAGTGACACAGTGCATTCAAGTCACCACAGAAGTCACAAAAATAAGCAAGATTTTTTTTAAAGGATTACACTGGGGCTTAAAATTTTAAGATCTTAAAAAATTTTCAATCCAAAGAATACAGCCCTTTTAAACTACAGGAAGACACTAGGAATATAAATTTGCACAATCATTATATCTTTTATTTACATATAGAAATTAGTAAAACTTAAAACAAAACCAAATGCGACTTGTACAGAAATCCTTTAATTTTCTTTATTTTCACACATTAAAAAATGAAACACACTATACAAATGGTTTTCATAGCAGATTACATGTGGGTCCATTCACACTTGCTCTCAAAGTGCTGCCAACGTGACAAGTGCTGCCAAGGCGACAGCTGTGAATCGGGGAGCCCATGTATTGACGTAGATGCGGTAGCATGCAGCCCTCGGCATGGAGGGTCAGTCCCCGCTGTTCTTAAATTAGGGTAAATGGCGTTGGTGTCCGTATTTACAGACTTGAAATGTATCAATCCTGAGCAGTTCCGATGTAAATCCGAGACCAGCTGATGGGAGTCTTGGTCTCAGTTTTAAAAAGGGAGGTCCAATGGCGGCAGGCTGGCTTGCTATGAACTTGAGTTGTTTTCATTCTTTCCAACATGAACTATTTGCCGCGGGTCACACAGTCAGACCCTTCCAGAAGGGTTAAGCCAAGTAACTGTAGGTGTCCTTTTCACCATCAACTCGCTCCAAATATTCTTTCTCAATTAGAATGTCAATGCATTTCTGGGTGTTATTTTTAAAAAGGAAGAGGTAGTGAAAGAGAAGAAAAACACAAATTATCATCAGAACAGAGAGAGGCTGCCCCCACCACAGATCTCCCCATGCGGAGCTCAGTGGGGAGCAGTGCCCCCCCGCCCCAGATCTCTTAGCATAGTTTCACTTCCTGGGCAGCTAAGCCGTTGTGCATGGAGTTCGTTTAATTTCCATTTCCTTGACACTTGCTGAGCGGGACTCCAAGTCCCTCCTGCACCCGCCCTAGGAACTGGAGCCAGGTGCTCTGGGAGCCCCAGGGGCCAGTCTCTTTCTACCACCAAAGTCTGCTTGCCTCTGAGGCAGGACTCAATCTCACAAGAAGAGGCCATGAACAGGCAACAGGGGACCGTGGAGAACCCCCTGAACAGCCATGAACGAACTGGCACCTGTGCCAAATGTAACCCAGGAGGGTCACTGGGCCTCCTGCCTGTTGAGGGAGTCACCTGTCAATGCCACCCCTGAGGCTCCCCACTGGCTGTGCCTTACCCAAGTGGTTTCGGAAAAGGAAAGTCCTGCTTCCCAATCAGAAATAAGCAAAATGTCAACAGTAGGCTACATACAGGAAGGTGTGTTCCCATAACAGAACACCCACAAAAGTCACAAAAACGATCCAGTGCTTCTTGATACTGCAACGCAATGAATCTCCCAAAGATACTGCTGAGAAAATTACCAGGCACGGGAGCGTGTGCTCTAGAATCTGTCTATGTATCACGCATAAGCAGGCAAAACTGCTTTATGGTGTCAGAAGACATGACAGTGATTTTCTATGGCACCACAGGTATTAGCTGGGATGGGTGGGCTTCCGGGATGCTGGTCATGTTTTAATTCTTACCTGGGTGCCGGTTACACAGTGTATTGACTGTGAAAGTCATCAAGCTGCCACTTCATCATCTGTGCACTTCTTTGTACGTGTGTTTCAATAGCGTTACACTGAAGCTTTCTTTTATAGAAATCTACTACATACAAAGAAGCCAGCTCCCTTCTTCTTCATGCTACAGCAATCCATCCACTTTTTGCTACATCTTTTATCTTCTAAATTAAGGAAGGAATGTGACTGCTATGTAAGTCCTGTACCTTGATCACAGGGACCCGAGGTTTGAACCTGGAGGACAGCTGAGTGAGGACCTCGCCAAGTAACTGCTGGTGTTTCAGAACCTTCCTCATCTTCATGATTCTCACGATGGCCGCCTATGCAACCAGATAAGGAAAAAGAGGTGCATTTAGAGCTGTTAACAACTTAGTATTGACAGTTAAGGGCAAGCCGCACAGAGGCTGCCAATGCTACGCACAGGATCACCATTTCCTAATGGGCAACAAGCGTCCTGCCGGTGAGACGGGAGAGGCAACCAATTCTACTCGCCTATGTTTCAACTCTAACGTGGCAAACATTACGTTTTGGTCTTTTGAGCAATGTGACCTCAATAATTTAACTCAACCATAAAGCATTAAAAAAAGGAGACAAAATTAAGTCAAGGCCTCGGAAGCTGCCCACCCTCCCCGCTGAAGCGCTCTCCTTCCCCCTCGTTTCAGCTGGGCCTGCCACAATGTCTGCTTTCCAACATGTAGAGCAAGAGGACTGCCCTGTTTTGCCTGGTGACATAAAGGACTAATTCAGATAACAAGGCCCTGGCTCTCGGCCTTGCCACCTTCTACCATCACAGAGCCATTCATCTGGCAATCACTCCTGAGTCAGCCCCGCTCCCCCACGGCCCGTCCTTGCGAGCCATCCCTGCGTGAGGGACCGCACACTCGGCACAGGCATACAGGAAGTCACCTGAATCAGTAGTTTGCGGTCTTCCTCGATATTTTTGTGTGTGGTTTCTTGTTCCTGCTTCTGTTCGGTTTTCATTGGCACATTGATGTTAACCCTTAATTTCTTACTATCAAGAAAATGGAGGAAACCGATCACTATCATGTTAAAAGGTAGGCAATGAAGGCTGCTTTCTATTTGTCAACCTTTAAGCAGTGCCCCTGCTTCCCCAGACAGAGGGGAGCGTTGATTTCTGTGAGCTCTACGTGAAAACGCCTCTACCCAGCACTGGGCAGAGTCCGATCACAGCGTAGTTTCCTACTTGGCCATTAACAGGGACATCCACATTACAGAAAATCCAGGTCCTTAATCTGCTCTCCCAAATTTTGTCAAGTGAAATAAAATCAAGCCACTTGGACATAAAGGTCCAAACTTTCCTGATGAGCCATTTAACGAGACCTATGTGCCAAATAAATAAACAAAAAACCCAGCAGCTCAGAGTTGGAGAAACATCAGGCTTGCTGAATGGAATCGAAGGCCTACCTCACACTCCCAGCCTAGTGCCTGTCGCTTCATACTGAGTCCCCGTCTCCCTCGGTTCACAACAATACTGAGATCTGTGCTAGGGCTCCCGGGGGACACGTCTATGGTCTAGGGCCATCTATTTATTAGATTTTTCTTACTTTTTATAACCAAGATATAATTTTATTAAGGTATCTGGCTTCAATTCCACTTCATCGACATTTGCATTTTCATCTTCCAAGACCTGTAAGAAAACAAGTGTTACTATATAATCTCAGGAAAAGGCTTTCTTCTAGCATAAGATAGAAAGTGCACAAACCTACCAGTAACTTTGACTTTAATAAAATCTGTAGGACTTGTGCCAAAATGTCCTGCAATTAAAGAGAAAAAGAGGAAGTTAAAGGGACAATGCATTTTTCTTTGCAATAACCACCACAGGCAACCTCATGGTCCATTTTCCATTAAAAAAAAAAAAAAATCACCCAAAAAGAAGAACATGCTGGAAGGAAAAAAAAGTTGGTACTCCTTAGAAGTTCGCTAAATTTACTGCTTCCTTCCACCCTGACTCCTAGAAGTGAAATCAACCCCTTTCTGGCCTTGACCACCCAATAATAAAAATCAACAATTCTGTTATACTTAAATCAGGATGAGTAACCCTTATCTGAAATGCCTCGGACTAGAAATGTTTGGATTTCGGGATACTGTACTGGATTTACAGATTCAGCAGCCCTGATTGGAAAATCCGAAATTTGAACTGCACCATGAGCACTTTTTTTTTTTTTTTTTTGAGCATCATGTTGGTGCTCAAAAATGTTCGGATTCTGGAGCATTCTAGAATCTGGATTTTTGGATTAGGGATGTTGAACCTGTACTGGAAGCCACGCACAGTGAAATCTTGAGGAACCTCTTCACTTCTTAAGCGCCTGACAGCTCATCTTGGACACCGATCATCACAAAAGAAATATTAAAGAGCTGCCCAGCAGGACTGAAAATAATGTCCTGCTCATGAGAACGATGGGACTCAGCGGCAGGCGACCTCGTCAGCTTGGCTTTGATGCACTCAAGCACGTTGTGTGGCCTCTCATCTGTGAACGCTGGGTGTGGTAAACGCTTCCCAGCCCTCCTTCAGCCTCACAGCTTTATGATCCTATGAAATCCAAGGGGACCAGCCTGAGGGCACTCACACAATCACACGGACTCTTACAACCCATGGAGAGTGGAGTCCTGGCATCATAATGGGTACCCATTCTGGTCCGAGGGTACGTGGTTAAAGCTGTCAAAGTGAGAGGCCTCTCTCTAGTCTAGTAACTGACCCAGAGCTGCACAGCAGCCATTCCAATACTGCCAGCTGCATCTAGAGTAGGGTGCGGGGGTGCCCACCTCCTGAGCCAGATCTGATTGGACAACGTCTACTGTAGGCAGAAAGGAGAGAGCAGCTGCAGCCTCCTGAAGGAGTTCTAACACTGAGAACCAGTCCGGAGAGTGGCCGAGAACCCTGATCAGAAGAAGCCAAGCGAAGACAGGACAGTCACCCCTGTCAGCCTTGTCCTCAGGGCCCGTCTGCGACTGGACAGTCATCCCCGTCAGCCCTGTCCTCAGGGCCCGTCTGCACAGCCCTCCCCATAGTCTAGGGGGCAACCCAGCCTCCAACCTACAAAGGCACAAACTCATTTTGTTATGAGAATTTGAAGATATATTTGTCAGAAATTTGAAGAATGACTACAAAATAGTCATTCAAAATGACTTTCCTAACTCAGTCCATAAGGCCAGTATTAGCCAGACACTAAAACCAAACGAACATCTTGAGAAAACAATAGAGCAATGTCCCTTATGAATATAAATGCAAAACTCGAGAAAACACCAGCAAGCTAAACCCAACAACATAGAAAAACGATTAGATACCATGACCAAGTGGGATTCACCCTGAAAACAGCAGGGTAGTTCAACATCCGTGCAATACACCATATTAACAGACAGAAAAAGCACAGTTCCTTCGACAGAGTAGAAAAAGCAGTTTGACAAACTACAACACTCTTTCATGATACAAAATTCAAAAGCTAAGAATAAAAGGGAACCTCTTTAGTCTGATAACGGACATCTAGTAAAAACTCACAGCTAACACCGTCACTGGTTAGCATCGCAGTTAAACAGTAAAAGACTGGAAGCTTTCCCAGTAAGGGCAGCAACAAGACAAGGATGCTTGTTCTTACCACATCCATTCAACAGTGTACCACAAATTCCAGCCAGAAGAATCAGGCAAAAAAAAAAGACAAACAAACAAGAAATAAAAGGCAGCCACATAGGAAAAGGAAGAAGCAAAACTGTCTGTATTTATAGATAATATGGCTGTATATCAAAAAACGCTAAAGAATCCCCCCAAAAACTATTTGAGCTAATAAATTAGAGCCAATAAACCTTTAGCAATGTTATAGAATCAAAATATAATGAGTTGTATTTCTATACATTTGCAGTGAGCAATCAGAAAGTGAAACAGGCTGACATGGTAGCTCATGCCTGTAGTAATCCCAGCACTTTGGAAGGCCAAGGTGAAAACGTCACTTGAGTCCAGGAGTTCAAGACCAATCTGGGCAACACAGTGAAACACCATCTCTACAAAAAATACAAAAATCAGCTGGGCATAGTGCCAGCTACTCCGGCGGCTGAGGAGAGAGGATCATTTGATACTGCAGTGAGCTGTGACTGCACTATTACACTCCATCCTGAGCAAGAGTGAGACCTGGTTTCAAAAAAAACCAGAAAAAAGTGAAATTAAGAAAACAATTCCACCAGGCGCGATAGCTCACGCCTGTAGTCCCAGCACTTTGGGAGACCGAGGCAGGCAGATCACCTGAGGTCAGGAGTTCGAGACCAGCCTGGCCAACATAGTGAAACCCTATCTCTACTAAAAACAAAAAATTAGCCAGGCATGGTGGCTTGTGCCTGTAATTCCAGCTACTTGGGAGGCTGAGGCGGGAGAATTGTTGGAACCCGGGAGGCAGAGGTTGCAGTGAGCCAAGATTGCACCACTGCACTCCAGCCTGGGAGACAGAGCAAGACTCTGTCTCAATTAAAAAACTAAAAACCAATTCCATTTACATTAGCATAAAAAATAATAAACTAGGAATAAATTGACAGTAATACAAGATGCATACACTGAAAACCATGAGACACAGTTGAAAGAAAAGACAACCTAAATAGATGAAAAGACATCCAATGTTCATGGAATGGGAGACTTAAAATACTGTTGAGATAGCAACACTCCCCAAAGCAATCTATAGATTCAGTGCAATCCTTATCAAAATCTCAACTGCACTTTTTGCAGAAATGGACAAGCTGATCTTGAAATTCATAAGGTAACATAAGGGACTCACAATAGCCAATATAATCTTGGGGTGAAAAAACAAAGTTAGGGGTCTCCATTTCAAGATTTACTGCAAAACAATAGTAATCCAGACAGCGTGATACTGACATAGTATAGATATACAGATCACTGGAAAAGAATTGAGAATCCAGAAATAAAGCCATGTATACCCATGGCCAGCTGACTTTTGACAAGTCTGTCAGCACCAAACAACAGGGAAAGAACAGTCCTTGGCCTCAGACTAGGCAATGACTCCTTAGAAATGACACCAAAATCACAAACAGCAAAAAGAAAAAATAGATAAAATAGGCTTCATTAAAATTAAAAATGTGTATATAAGAAAGAGAGACAACCCACAGAATGGGAGAAAATATTTACAAATTACGTATTTGATAAGGATCTAGTATACAGAATATTAAAAGAATTTTTAAGTCAAGCCAGCTTCGTCGCGATGGTGGTGTTGGAGAGCGAGCAGTTCCTGATGGAGCTGACCAGACTTTTCCAGAAGTGCCGGACGTCGGGCAGCGTCTATGTCACCTTGAAGAAGTATGACGGTCGAACCAAACCCATTCCAAAGAAAGGTACTGTGGAGGGCTTTGAGCCCGCAGACAACAAGTGTCTGTTAAGAGCTACCGATGGGAAAAAGAAGATCAGCACTGTGGTGAGCTCCAAGGAAGTGAGTAAGTTTCAGATGGCTCATTCAAACCTACTGAGAGCTAACACGGATGGGCTGAAGAAGAGAGACAAAAAGAACAAAACTAAGACCAAAGCAGCACCTGCCGCAGCAGCAACAACAGCAGCAGCAGCAACAGCAGCACCTGCCGCAGCAGCAACAACAGCAGCACCTGCCGCAGCAGCAACAACAGCAGCACCTGCCGCAGCAGCAACAACAGCAGCAACAGCAGCACCTGCCGCACCTGCCGCAGCAGCAACAACAGCAGCAGCAGCAACAGCAGCACCTGCCGCAGCAGCAACAACAGCAGCACCTGCCGCAGCAGCAACAACAGCAGCACCTGCCGCAGCAGCAACAACAGCAGCAACAGCAGCACCTGCCGCAGCAGCAGCAACAGCAGCAACAGCAGCACCTGCCGCAGCAGCAGCAACAGCAGCAACAGCAGCAACAGCAGCACCTGCCGCAGCAGCAACAACAGCAGCACCTGCCGCAGCAGCAACAACAGCAGCAGCAGCAGCAACAGCAGCAACAGCAGCAGCAGCAACAGCA